CGCCGAGAAACGTCTGTGCCGGTTCTCTTTGGTCCGAGTGCGTATGCCAATCAGGCCCGACTGAGTCACTCAGGAATGATGAGCCGTGGTCGGCGCATGGCTCGTCGCGAGAATAAGGATGGGCAATGGAACAAAACACAAGTATCGCTAGAAATTTCATGTTTCGGGTCCCACGGGATATTCTATTCAGTATGAAGTTCGTTAAATCCGAACTGCCTAAATGGGTTGCTGTACAGATGTGAACATGAAGCGAGCAAGAGGAGAAGGAAATTTTATGCAAGTGGATAGAACAATTCATTAAGGCCCAGCCAAGTGTGCCGCCTAAACGGGCTGCTGTCGCTCTATCGAAAAAGCAAAAGAAGCAATATTTGGTGAAAGAAAGTTGGAAATTCAAGTGGAAATGAAGTAAAAAAATGTCTACAGTACACGGTGCCGTACAAACCCAACCAGCCTGTTGCCTAAACAGGCTGTTGTACAGATTAAAACAATAAAGTACATGCCCAATGAGTCTGTTGCCTAAACAGGCTGCTTGGAGGCAGTGAAACAGGAAGGACCCAGGAAGCGGCTTTCCCTATTTGACGGTAAAGTATCCACTTTGTGGCCGAGGTTTTCTCTTGCAGAAACAATTATGGGAGCGACTCCATGGACAGTGACAGAGACTGGAAGTAGCGCTCAGCCGTTTGTTACACTGAAGTCAGAATGGCTCAATGCTTTTTGTCTAATGTAATGTCACAGAGGAATTTTGGGGTGCTAACACGGCAAGTCCAAGGCGTATTGTGTAAGTACTCATACACCTCCGAGCTTTTAAAATTGCTCATCGAGTTCAGAAAGTAGCTCAACATACGATGTATACATCGTCGCTGGCAATTTTTTTGCCATCCCCTACCCTGCTACATTCGTAGGAAGCGGAATTGAAATGGTTTTTTTTTTTTTGCTTTTAAGTTGCGACAACTAGCACTGCCACATTGTTTATGACTGTAAATGTCAGAGAGAGTGAACTCATGCAGCCAGTTAAGATGTAAACAAAACGCCAGTTCGGGTTCAAACAAGAAGTTGCTCCCATGATTCATGCTCAGCCTCATGGGGCGCAAGAATAAGGTGGACACAATTACGACAGGCCTGCCTAAAAAGGCTGCAGATGAAAATAGGACGGAACTACGTTGAGAGCAAAGTTTACTGTGGAATTATTTAGCAAAAATGGTTTTCACTACTTGGTATCACAAATCAGGAAAACAATGTTAGCGCATGTGCAAAATGCCTGCCGCCTAAACGGGCTGCAGTTAAGGCCAAAAAAAGCACTTTTTTTTTCCACATCCCCATCCCCAATAGAGACATCAGAGGAAAAAAAAACCTCTCAGGAGTAAAAACAGTCGCCGTCGGTGTGTGGCGACGAAAACGCAACCAGGCACAAGTGATTTATTGTTGTCTCCTTGCATCCTGGGCATCGAAAGACAAACATGGAGCTGGAGGAGGAGGAGGGGGAGGAGTTCCAAGGGGGGTGGGCAGCAAAAGGTGAAATTTAAAGATGACTTCCAGGAGCTCAAACTGGGAAAGGGGTCCAAGTGAACCAACACTGTGCGTGATCTGATTAGCACATGAGCTGTTAGCACGTCCCCTCCATAGCAAACACCCGAGCCTGCCGCGCGGCTAATCCGTCACCTCGCCGGGGAAAGAGTGAAACATTGATTTTTTCCTGGTTTACATATTTACACACACACAAACACACACACACACACACATACACACAAACGCACGCCATTAGGAGGGCGTTTATCGACAGTTCCAGCACCGCCGGAGCTCCCGCTAATAAATCTCTGCACTCTTACTCAAGTGGGAGAAGATGAAGAGGCACATTTATATTGCATGACCAAATAAATAATCGATTTTAATAAAGAATATCATATGATTTAACAAGACTTTGTTCAAAGTTTACTTCTGATCTGCATCTTCTGCATCCATTGATGCTGCATGCGTGTGCAATACTGCCCTCAACAGCACCCCTGAGGTAGCGCTCGTTGTAGTCAGTCTGCCAACTTTTAAATAAGAGCTTATATTTGTGAGTCTGATCGATTAGGTCGGTCATCCATTAGTGCTCATCAGCGGCAGAACGGATTAATGCGCTTTACTGGTGTCAATAAGAGTCCTTTGGGGACCGTCGGGCATTACCATACCGGACATTTTTCCACCTCAAATACATTTTTCATTAAAGTTATTAGTTAGACCGGCAAAACAAACATAAACGCAACATGCCAAACATTCGTTAACTTCATTGTGATCGTTTCATGAAAAAAATAAAAATGTTTCAGCTCGACTAGACTTTTACCTTATTTTTTACAGGTGACACGGGAATCCCTTTGAGGTTAATCACATTAGACAGGGCAACTTATAAAGATAAAGTTAGACGCACACAAACGGTGAACTCCCTCAACTCGACCCCCGTCGCCGGTTACCGTACGCGGAGAGGTGATCGCACCTGTTCGGAATCTTTCACCTCTCCTCGTGTTGACAAATCCTCGTTAGAAAAGAAAACAATTGTTTTGGGCTACACTGAATGTCTCAGACGCGTTCGCTTACCTTTAAAAACTTCTCCCCGGGCGGATAGCAGCAGCGTGACGGTGGCGAACCACCAACCGACAACTTTATCCATGTCGACGGCGCCGAGGCAACCGCGGTGTTGGCAAAACAAAACTATTCGGCGCTTGTCTCACAACTTGCACGGCTCCTTCAAATATAAACGAAAGAACCTCCTTGGTCGTCCCTCTTTTTTTTTCCCCCTTTTTTTTTTAGATGACTTGTTTATAGGCAGGCTTTCGTCGCCCCAGTATTGCTGCTGCTGCCGCTGCTCCTTTTTCTTTTCCTCCTCCTCTCTCCGCGTCCACATTCGTAGGAGGACCGCGAGTGAGTCGATTGCACACTTGCGCGTGGATGGAGTGAGTGGTGCCTTGGCGGCTGTGTACCGGCCGCGTGGCCGGGAGAGGGCGTGTGTGAGTGGGGGTAGACGGAGAAGCGAACCGTGCCCTCACAACCTTCCAGCTACTCCACCCTCCAATTCACGTTCAACTGACGCGGCTTGTTTGAACATTTGTGCACGCCTTTACCAACCAGATATCCTTATGTTACTTTTTTTTTAACACGACGACCACGTGCATACGGGTATTTTAAGGAGTTGTCTTGCTTCCGGTTCGATAGGCATGAATACACACCTGTGGTCGATCAACAAGCCGGAGAAGAATGAAAGTGGACAACAATATGTACAATAAATAAATATGTGTAGTGGCTAATGAAGACTTTTATTACTAATACGTGATGAAGTTAACTAAGTTTCGGGTATAATGGATACCATGAAGTAGTATTAAAAGAATACCCCTCCTGAAACATGTCAATGAAAATTGAGCATTCGCTTTGTAAAGGTGGACTTTTTAAACCAGCATATAATATTTGAGGTGTAATAGGCGTTGAAACATAGTTCACCCAGTGACTGAGGGTGAATAGGAAACAGTTGGTTTTATTTGAGGTTTAAAGTAATAACAGAGGAGAAAACTTCAAACTTTACGAGCATCAATGTTTGTCAAATTTGAGGTTTAAAGTAATAACAGAGGAGAAAACTTTACGAGCATCAATGTTTGTCATGATACCGAAGTCATGTGACGCTAGGCAGATATGATCTGTCGTTGTTTTGGCCGCCGTCTCTTTGTGCATTGTCATGTCTACGGCCCTTAAATGACAAGGAATGTACAAAAATACCAGCTGGAGCACAGTCGTCTGCTTTATGCGCAGCGCTGACCAATATCCTGTGCAGCTGAACTACTGGTATTGACATCGACATCATACAAATCCATACTCCTTCATCATATTTCCCCCCCGCAACAGTGACACAAATCCATTTAACAGACATGATGAGCTAAATGAGAGTGTTAGTTAACCTTGTGCTGTTTGTCAATAGGTGTCATGTGATCATGTGAGAAGGGTTCTTCGGCGTCTTGCGGAGGCAACGGCACAATTTCACTCCGTGAACAACAGGGAGACGTGCATTTTTATGATCCTCCTTGATTGACAAACGCTCTGTGTGGCACTGATGAGTTGTCAAAAAAAATCCAATGATTATAACAGATAAGAATTTAAAAAAAAAGAATGCCGTCATATGGTGCGTCCTTAACAATTGTGCTTACTCCTTGCAATGCGCATGCTGGCCCTCGAAGGGAACAGGGCAACGTGAGACTGATTAATGTGAGACACCCTCTGTTATCTAACCAACAGAACAAATTTGTGGGAAGGGAACAGGGCAACGTGAGACTGATTAATGTGAGACACCTTCTGTTATCTAACCAACAGAACAAATTTGTCGCCATATATGAGAGAGAGAGAGAGAGAGAGAGAGAGAGAGAGAGAGAGAGAGAGAGGGA